ATATATATATATATATATATATATATAAAAATATTTTTTTACAATATATATATTTACACACACACATATATATATATATATATATATATATATATATATATATATATATATATATATATACATACATATATATACATTTACACACACAAATATATATGTATATATATATATATATATATATATATATATATATATATATATATATTGCAATTTGTGGAACTACCTCTCTATCTCTCTTAAAATATATTTTTAATTAAATGGCGCAATCACGTTATGGACATTTGGATGGAATTGTTTTATCGAGGATTTCCAATTACATTCGTTATTACATGTAAAAAAAACTGTTGTTATGCTTTTTGTACGAGATTTATAAAATAACTTATGTTAATATATCGTTTATAGTACCGAACTTGCATGTAACTTTGAAGTTCTCGCGCGTGCGTTAAGCCTAACTTTTCGGAACTTCTTGGCCGAACTACAATCTCATTCTACTAAAAATTTCTTTCTTGCACGAGACACGCGATAGATTACCTCGGTAAAGCCGCGATAACGTGTTCACGTTTGCATCCACTTCACTTTGATAAATGATCATCTTTTGCGATTTCCCTCACGTTTTCCGAAATACGTTTTACCATTCAATTTGTTGTTCACATTGGAATTTTCAGGCATTCAATAAAACTTATAATAACGATAAGAAGGGCCATAGTTAGCAGAAAAGGTGCACTTGAATCGATATATTTGATACATTAATAATAATCGTCAATGTGAATAATAGCACAAACAAGAAATTGCAAGAATTAGAAAAAGATAAGAAAGGTTAAAAGGATGAGAAAAAGGTAAAAAGATTAAAGAGACAAGAATGAAAAACTAAGACAGCAAAGCAAAGCGTCTCTTGCTACGTCAAGTGTAAGATAGGGTAGACCCTTCATCCGCAAAAGTGCCCCGCGGGAGCTGCGTCAACGTCCTACAGAAGAAGCTCAACCCATTTCGTTCTCTGACCCACCACAGTCTTTCAAGTTACGTGAACCTCTTCACGGATCTTCACGAATGAACAGGATTACAACGGCAATGAGTTCTCTAGCCGGACGTCATTCAAGTTTCGACTCCTTCCTATTCTTTCTTCCCGTTATGATTTATGGTTTCATTAACGCAACTTGTAACGCTTTTCTGATTGCGGCTAGGAAAAATTTGTTCACCCGTGTTTTCCTCGGTGAATCACCAAAACAGATGCGATGATTATATTAAATTGCCATTTTTTCTTGGTTGTATTGTGGACAATGTTTGATTTTCTTAAGAATTCCTTGACTTTGGAACTTTATGTCAAGTATGATTCGCTTTTAATCAATAAAAGATATTAAAAGCTCTGAAAATATGATTACTTTAGTGCATATATCGTGCAAAAATAAAGAAGATTACTAACTGATGGATTATTACTAGTTACTTTAATGAAATATGTCAGTAACGCAATGAGATTATACGTGACGTGTAAAAAATATAGTCGAAAGAGGCTGTAGTTTAAATTTATGATATCAGCTTAATCACATTTAAGTTCTTATATTGCGACTAAATATCCATTCTGTAGTAATATTTTAACTGCATTCAACTCTGTCTCTCTCTCTTTCTTTCTCTCTTTCTCGTTGGGCTAAATGGACATATTAAGAATTCTGTAAAAGCTCATATTTTGCTACGTAACGATTGCTGCTGTATGCTACGCATGCTATGTAACGCAGCAATCACGGAGAGCAATTCAATTTACACAGAATGAAATGGTGTCGATGCTTTTATGGTAACTCCGATTTCAGATACGAATTTCTCGAGAGTTCCAAATACGGAGTGGCTGTCGTGTCGAAGTATACAAAAGGAAATCGACTGGCTATCAGATTATTATTCCAAGCATGCCGCTTGAACGTCCGTTCCTTCTAAAACATTCCACGATACGATAGGTAGTGCCAGTCGAAGACAACGCTTCTTTCCGAACGTGCAAGTGCGACGCGAATGAGATACATTTGTGCAATAACACAAATCTCGTAACAGGTATTTATATTCTCATTAGCACTTTTCTGTCGAATTTTAATATTTGCCACTCGAATATCATTATTTCATTTCTAATTTTTTTGGCCGCATTAATCGCATAGTAAATTTATACACGTTGTATATCTTATTTAACGTTTACTCGACGAATTAATTCATACTTTTTTATGAGTTATACGAGTTATAATATTGCTAATAATATATTTATAGTAATTCGGATGGCGTACGCACTCGGCATATTTGATAAACTCTCATTGCCAAATTTTATTCGTCAATACATTACCTCGCTTTTGTCGCGCTGAGCTAACCGGCCTTTTGTGGCAATGACCTCTAGTGAATTAATCAATAAATACGTAGCTACTGCGTGAACTACATTACGGTTTGCCTGTAAACGGAGCCTGAAAACGCAGACGTACCGCCCAATGACTGAGCATATTTTCCACATATTTTATGCCGTGATTTTACGTTTTATCAAAAATTTATCACATTTAATTAACATCAGAAATTAATATGTAAACATTGAAAAAATTGGCTGAGATACATTAATTATTTTATACAATGTGGATTAAGTTATCATGGAGAGACTGAAATGGTATTAATACCACTATTAATTACGATACATGAATTACGTTGCGCAAATTGTTACGCCACGCATTTGTTATTACGTATTCAATAATTAATCTCTGTCCAGGTATTTAGTCAGCGAGATGAAGTGTTAACTGCTTGTGTCCAATGAAGACCTGCTAGAAGGAAGTCTGAAATGATCAGGAGGTATAGAGATCATAGCACTGTTAGACATCTATCTACATTGTGGTCTTACTCGGTGATGAAACACAGGCAAACTCTAGGAAGACGTATTGCGTGTGAGTAGAGAATGACAAGAGGAAAGGTAGTTGAATGGCGTATGACATGGGGATGATGTAGAGACGAATGGCGTGGTTGCGATTTATCGAGTTAGATTCCTAGTTATATCTTCCGCTGTTCTTTTATTTTGTAACATGTAGCATGCGGCAACATCTTTGCAGACAACCTTTTCTTTATTTAGACTTTTCTAAATATTACATTATGATATGAAGACTGAAAATCTTTTATAACTTTTTTATCTTTTCTATACTTTGCTAGACTAGAGAGTCGATTTGTGTATCGCTATCAAGCGAGCTGGTGTTACATCCTAATCTTTATCTAACTACCAAAAGCGATATTGTTGACGAGATAGACGCACAGCAGCTCATCGCTATTCGCTTGTCTGCCTTCATCTTATCGTGATTCGCCTCCCTTGCTGTTTTAAACGTTCCCTCGTGAACTTCGTATCCTTTTTCCTCTTAACTTTTTCTATCTGTTGTACATGCATACAAGGCTAACTTCGCCGTTTCCCTCCGTGTGTCCCTAAGCCTCGACGAAGGCACGCTCCATGGCATAACCCTCATCCTCCACTGTAGACACGTTCTCTCTCCATTCTTCGTTTCTCTCTGGTGTTAGCCTCCGCAGCTTCAGGAGCGGAGAGACGATCAATACGTCGCTCTAGAACGGAGAAGGAACGGAAGCTACGTCATTGGGAGACTTTGGTGCTTGTGGGGAGCGGAAAGGGATCGAGGTAAAGGGACCTTTTCCAGGCGATTCCTCGAGAGGCAGAGGAGAGGAGACCGGGTCTGGCTCAGACCAGATATGCCCAGCTATGAGCGCGAAAAGATGATGAGACGAAGGGTGGTCCCTGGATTTTGCATCTCTCTTTCTCCAGAAGGGTAGTTGACAGGGTCTCCAAACCGAGACTGCACGACTCGAACCGAGCGTCAACGAGCGCAGGGGCGGACGTGCAATCGGTCCTTTCTGACACTGATAAAAATTTGTCGCAAATATTTCCTATTTCGTTGTTCCGTATTAACGTGTATCTGAGAAGCACTTGAGGTTCGCTACGCAACGTGTGTATTTTTACTCGCACTGATACTATTCTAAATACTGGTCTAAATCAATGTCGGTTTGCGCGTCTAGATACTTTAAACAATCCAAAATAATGTTTCACAAAAAAAGGTTCTTTGAGACATAGATTGATAAATAAAATAAATATTTGGACTGATTAGCCGTGAATGAATTTGTAGTTAGTATCAGTGATCCGTACCTGGAGACTCAAAGGTATAATAACAGGTGTTATAAAGATATCACATATATATCGCATCTTGTATACTCCTTCATAAAATAATCTCTTCTTAAATTGCTGACAAGTTTTGATGTTATCATGATGTTACGTGCACATTGTATTGCTGGAAATTACTTCATGGTATGGAAAGGGATTATCGATTTGGCGTGCGAACGACGGATCACTGGGTAATAAGTTCTCGGCTGCTTTCGGCAGATTCGGCAGATTGTAAATCTACGTACAAACGTGAATTTATCTTACCTGTATGTTTGTCAAATCTTTCGCTGATACAACCTTTCCCAAAGGAAAAGATGATATTTCTTATAATAACACAGTGCAAGTTGTCAATTAAATGACTGTAATCTGTCAGATAATTTGACCCAAGACACAAGATAAATTCCGACTGCGAAAAGACCGATTGCAGAGATATGCACTGTATGACGAGTGGTATCAGTGTTTTGTTAGTGGCGACAGCATGATCGATTAGAAAAAACGCTTTTTGTTCACGGATAAAATCTGAAATTGCGATGAATCGAGCTGTGGAGGTGCTATGCGAACCTACGGTCCTGTGCTGTGGCATCTTCTATACGGGAGTGAGGGTGCGCGCGGTCCAATCATCGCAGAATCCGGGGGAAGCCCCTGGCTTCACCCGGGCAGCCGTGGGAGAGACGCCCCGCGACTCGAGGATTCGCTTGTCGCCGAATACCTTCTCTACTCGAGCCAAAAAGGACAGTCGGCAGTACACAGCGTTTGGTTAGAGGGGCGTTGGCCCATTCTTTTGCTCTGTGTTTCGCTGCAAATCATCGAGAAAACCTCGTCAGCATCTCGTCCATAAGGCCGACGAACTCAACTGCCACGCGAACCTCAAGTGACAAACCCAAATCGACCTCGGGTGACCTCGGGGATAGATCGAATGTGAAATAACATCCAAAACTACTAGCATCTCTGTAGTGTCTTTCAAATGGATCAAGTGTTTTTTCTTCACGCACGATTCTGTATAGTTTGTTTGCTGAAGATGATTATTCCGTATGATTCTGCCAACAGTGGGCGTGTTAATGTGGGTTAAATGTGCATGAATGTGAGTCTGTTGCTCGCTGAAGTATGTTTTGCATGAACTTTCGGTGTAATGTTGTCGTATGATATTTTGTAATTAACGGATTACGTTGCGGTGTGGTTCGTCATTGATTATAAGTCGGCACGAGGCTATTTGCTCGCGGTGCATCTTCGAGAATTATTTTGGCATGATCGTTTCTAATCTAAGTTCTCCGTTGTATGCAAAATATATCATCTGTATACAAAATATTGCATATACAATAAAACCACGTGTATACGTACACATATTTATGTACATACGCTAACACATACATATAGTTTCATCTTCCATTTATCTCAAGCATGACGGTCTGATTGTTTTTAGTAGCATGACTGATGATTTTTGTACTGCATAACAGTGTCTTCTTTCAAAAACATGATGTGCAATTACGATTTTTTTTAGAGTATCTTATTTTGGCGATACACGCACACACACACACACACACACACACACACACACACACACATACACATTATACATTATAATAGTAAGTCGATAGTAGTCCATTTGTTTCATTTGTATCCATTATGTGACATACTTGTATTTGTCAAATTAATATTGTGAGTAGTTTTTATAATTACAGCAAGAAGAATTGTTAATTAATCAGACTGTTACCAATCTCATACATCATGAAAATATATCTCAGCACCTTTTGTAAATATGTTTCCAATTTTTTTATTTTTAACACCATATGTAAATAACAAATTTAATGTCATGTATATATATATATATATATATATATATATATATATATATATATATATATATATGTGTGTGTGTGTACTCGAGTTATTTTATATTGATATTAGCATACCATAAATATAATATTATGACTTTAATTCGTCTACATTACTTAAAGAGGATATCAGATTTTGGCCCTCAAAATATTCATTTAAATATGAAATGTAACCCAAGATTTGATAACAGGTGAGTGCTCACAATAATAAATATTTCAAAGCACATGAAACATTTGTATTCGAATAATATCGCGTTTTACACGATAATTTTGTTGATTGACATGAAACTAGCTCAAAAAGTTTCAACAAGTCGTAATGGTTTTTAATTACATTATTATTGCGTGAAAAATTCGCAAAGTTGTGTTAAATCAAATAACAAAATCGCAGAAAGGTAGTCGCGTCAGATACGCTTTATTATAATGCACGGCTACCTTTAACCATACTCCGGATATGCATGCCCGGTCACGTTCTGTTTTAGCGGGGTTTTTCCGGTGTCACGTACGACGGCGCAGCTGCAGTTGGACTGTTAATCTGCCACAGCTTCAAATAGTCATGCCCGTTACTTCTTCTTAATATCAAATTGCACTTTGATTTTGAATCCTTCAATTTGCATACGTCCATTATACGTAGAATATTTTTTTGTCATTGAAAAGATATTAAATTTTTTAAAATATGCCGCTAAGTTATTTTTCAAATTGTTATATCACTTTGGAAAATTATAAAAATTTGCATCTAAATATTCGCAAAAATTTATAAAACAGTATTGTACGCAAGATTTAAATTGTAAATATGTTTACATGTTATATATAAAGCAATAAGGATAGATATTAAAGCAAAATTTTGTTGCAGATTGTTGCTAAAATGGGAACAGCAAGGAATGGTTGCAAAGAATAGGCACATTCGTGATCTACCCTGTAGATCCGGGCTTTTGTAGAATTGTAAATATCAGAAGCTCGACTCTACAGGTATCTTACGGATGACATGCCACGCGACTCTAGAATGCAACGTATGACGCCTAACGTATTCGTTTAGATAGTGCGTTAACCATAGACCTGTACAAACAGACTGAGCCCTTCTACAAGCAGCCGTGAAGACTTGATTAGAAAGAACGACCTCTGTTACAAGCAATTTGTCCTTGTCTGGCTTGAGTTTTATTAGAGAAATCTAACAGAGAGAGGAGACACGGCGGGAAACTTCATCCGTTTATATTTAGTAATTTAAAAAAAAAGTATTTACCGAATCACTGATCAAATTGCACTTGCATTACTGATCAGTGTTTTTCATCGAAGGCACGTTAGATCCTTTGAGAGAAAAATTAGAGGACAATTGTTTGAGGATATTGTATTTGTATGTTGCAACCAGAAAACGAGGAAAATGTTTCTATCCAAGAGTATGGATTTATATTACGGTAGACTTTAAATTAAATCCTCTTTTTTCTCTCGATACGACAGAGATAGTATGTTTGTGAGTGGTCTATTCTTCAATACTTGTTCTTAAAACTTATAAGAAGGCGCAATCCATATGTACATGTCTATGGCGTAAATAATAATCATTCAAGAATCTGCTGATTAATTTTGGTTTTATTTTTAGCAATAAGTTAAGAATTGCATATGGAAAATGGAAATAATGATCAATGTGAAATATTACACATCGTAACTTTTATCCAGTTTTATAAAACTCGATAGCAGTTACTGTAACTATTGTAAAAATAAATATACTGTCATGTCAAATTAACTTAAGAGACAACTTTACGTGATGTTATAGTCAAAATATATTGGAACATGAACAATGATGAGAATAATTATTTATTCAATGGTTTCTCTTTGGTTAAATACTATTTATCGCGTTCGGGGAGGATACACGAATTTCTTTACGTCAGAAACTTAACAGCT